AGTCAGCGCTGAGCACTGCCAGGTGTTATTCTTCTCAAAACAAAATAAACCCCCACCCCCAAAAAAGAGAACAAGCAAATAACATTAAATGATTTTTTTTTAAATTTTGTGCCATGCCTGGTGGTGCCCAAGAGCTCCTCCTGTCCGTGCTCAGACCACATGCAGTACTGAGCACTGCACTGCACTGTAGCATTATCTTCCCATTGTTCATCGATTTGCTTGAGCCGGCACCAGTAACATCTCACAACAAATTGTGAGACTTGTTGTTACTATTTTTGGCATATCAAATACGTCACGGGTAGCTTGCCAGGCTTTGCCAGGCAGGTGAAATACTCTCGGTAGCTTGCCAGACTCTCCGAGAGGAGCAGAGGAATCGAACCCAGGTCGACCAAGTGCAAGGCAAACGCCCTACCCACTGTGCTATAGTTACTGAGCACTGAACCTGGGTTATTTAGGTGCAGGGCAAGCACCCTACCCACTGTCCTATCTCTCTGACCCCTTATTGTCATTTTCCCAAAATCTCTTTTCTTTCAACCATCTCCCAAGCCCTCAAGTCCCACAAGAGTGAGATTGTACATCTCTGCCCAACCCAAGAAGGGGAGGTAGAAGGACATCAGCCACGGTGGATCTTGTGGCTGCCCCTCCTCTAGTGGGCCTCGAGACTCCAGGGTTGATCCCGTAGCTGTGGGCCAGGTGGTTCCATCTCTCCCGTCTTTCCTTGTAAGAAAGGGCACCAGTAGCTCACCCGCTCAGCTCCAAGAAGACTGTGAGCCAACTCATTTATTTAGCAGCCACGGAAGACACATAGCTGTGTGTACGAGGTGCCCAAGGGTGAGGTGCTTGCCTAAGGGGTCCGGGCGCCTGTCTTGAGAGGGAGCTTCTCCACGAGGGCACAATGCCCAGCTCTGGACGTTTGTTTGGGGCTAGGAGTGGGTCAGTCCAGGCAAAGCCTGGCTGTTGTGGAGTCATCCCTGATGGGTCCCATGCCATCGAACGAGGTAGGGAAGTGCCTTGCCCGGCTGCAGGCACAGGAAATCCAATGTACAAAACCTTTGGCTGATGCTTATTTAAGGTTCCTTTCCTTCCCCTCCTCCCGCCTTGCATAGAGTTTAAACTCTCCACACTAGGTCATTCAAGCCTGGACTTAGCAGAAAAAAGAAGTCGCTGTTTGAGGGATGGCAGATGATCAAGAGTTCAGACAGCTGCGATGAAGGATTAGTTGTGGGTTTTCTCAGTACCTCGCTACGAACTATGCCACCGCCCCAAGCCCAAACACTATTAAGTGAGAATGTTTTCGCTGGCACTTGGCCACTTTTCCCCCACAGTTTAAGTATTGAATTTTTTTTTCAAACTGAAGTAGCTTAGGTTTACAGCTCACATTTTAAAACTTAAAAACCTTATTTCCATAAATGTGGGCAGAAACCGACCCCTGTTTATTCCACCGGCAGTCATAATAAACGCTTTCCCATCGACAGCCTAACAAATCATTTTCTGTTTGCCACTGAGTTGGGCTCAATAAAATTTTTGTGCTCTGAAAAATGAAAATCTGAGCGAGAGCTCCTGAGAGCCACATTGCCAAAGACAGCCGCGGTGGTTTCTCCTGGCTCTCAGAGGTGAGCCCGATAGGTTAGTGGCAAGTCCTAGAAAAGACAGATGCACCCTTTATCTTCTTCAGACAGGTTCCAAGCCCCACGTGGGTGTCTGGGAGCACCAAAACCATGCAGTGTTTCTGTTTTACAGTTCAAATGTAAGTTAGAAATTAGGCAGACTGACAATGAGACCAATCCTAAAAAACATGCATGCAGGAAAGCTATGTCAATGTGGTCTTTCTCTCTTACACTATTTTCTTACAGCCAGTATTTTCAGACCCAGTGGACCACAGGGAACTGAAACCACAAACAGAGGCCTGGGACAATATTTGTTAATTGATTATGTCAGTGTAGGAGACATGATCATAGTTACTTTCATTTTTTTTCTTGCTTTTTGGGTCACACCTGGCAATGCTCAGGTGTTCTCCTGGTTCTGCACTCAGGAATTACTCCTGGCAGTGCTCAGGGGACCATATGGGATGCTGGGAATTGAACCTGGGTAGGCCGCATGCAAGGCAAATGCCCTATCTGCTGTGCAATGGCTCCAGCCTTCATTCATTTCTTTACTTTGGTTTACTTTGGTTTTGGGATCACATGCCATGGTGCCTGGGGGCTACTCCTCGGCTGTGTTTGGGGAACCATGTGATGTTGGGGATCAAACCATGCTCTGAGCCATTGAGTCATCTCTCTGGCCCCAAAGAGTCCCCTGGAAACACAGGGCTGGAGAGCTACTAAAGGGGTTCAAAGCCTTGCACTCAGCTCACCCAGGTTCAATCTCTGGCACCGCATAGGGTTCCCTGATCCCCACCAGAAGTGATCCCTGGGTGCAGCGCCAGAAGTAAGCCCTGAACATCACCAGGTATGGCCCGAAATAAAACAATAAGCCCCGCAGACACACAAAGCTCCCCTCAGCCCTTCACTCTGAGTGTCCAGCATGAATGATTAGAGATAGCACCTTAGATTCTTTCCTGGGGGTTTTTGTCAGTGATCCGCTTCTCGAAAACCCAGAGGACACCTGGATTCGGAGCTCTGAGGTTCGCTGGTGGCCACCTGTCTGCTGAACACAAACCAATGTGTGGGCAGGTCTGTGGGAATCTCCAGGCCAGGTCCGAGAAGGCTGTCCTTTCCTCAGCCCTGCATGGCGCTCCGGGCATGCTGCTGGGCTTCCTCAAGCTGACCTCCCTCGTTCTGACTGCCCACTGACAGTCAGACAGCCTACTCGGGGAAGGGCTGAAAGGGCCAGAGAATATGCTTTGCAGGCGGGAGACCCAGTTTCAAACCCCAACACTGCATGTTCCCCCACGCTCTATCTCCCAACAGCACTGGGAGTGGCCCCAGAGCACCACGGTTGTGTCCCCAGAAAATAAAAATAATAAAAGAGCTAAGAACAGCAGCTCCTGAATACCAGCACCCCAGGCTCCGCTCTGTCTTCTTGTTATGTTTCTCACTTCTAGGGGGATATTCTAGGTTCTAGGCCCTTTTCTCCTGCCTTGAAATTACCTCACAGAGAGGACTCAAATTATCTCACAGAGGACCCAGCCAGCCTCAGCTTCAAGTTCCATTTACACGCCTGGGCCCAGCAGGGGGTGCTGTGGGGCTTCTCCCAGACCTTTCTCCTTGAGCAGCACCTCACAGTTCCATCTGAGCCTGTGGGCTGCACTCAGGGTATCAGCCCCCAACTAAATAATGCCCAGGAGGAGCAGGGGGCTGGAGCAATAGTACAGTAAGGCACCGGCCTTGCACACAGCCAACCCGGGTTCAATCCCAGACACCCCATACGATTCCCAGCGCACCACCAGGAGTAATTCCTGAGTGCAGAGCCAGGAGTAAGTCCTCAACATCACTTAGTGTGGCCAAAACCAACAACCAAATAAACAGAATGGCCTTGGGGGCGGAGGATGTGACTCTGGTGTTAGTGGACAAGTCTTGCATGTTCAAACCCTAGGCTAAATGATCTTTTGCACCACATAGTCCCTGAAATGCGCCCGTCCACTGATTCCTGAGGAAGAACTGCCCTGAGAAGACCATATTTTGCTTCAAAGATTCACCCCTGTGCCCTGTGAAGCCTCCCACAGCCAGATTCAGACTCCGAGAGGCCTTCACGGGCTTCTGAATACACTCCCGGTCCCAATAAAGCACATGCATGCAGGTCACCATCTCAAGCACTCCTTCAAGACCTGTTGTGAGAAAGTGCTCCAGTTTTATTTGCTAATGGGAACTCCCCTTCTCAATCCCAGCTGCCTGCTCTGTGCCAGCTTCCTGGCTTAGCCACTCAACAACCACCTTCCCCACATCAAGAAGTGGCAGCTCCATGATTCCCTTTATTCAGTCCAAGGACCTTGAGGACACTGTGTGCAAGTCTTTCTCTTACCTGCCATGCCAATCTTGGTCTTGCTGTCAAAATTAATGCATTGACCCACTTCCCATCATCTCAATTACTACTGCCCAGGTCTGGTGTAGCATCTCTCTTGATTGGAACTTGGCAATAGCGGGGCTAACTGGTCTACCTGCATCTACTACCCCCTGCTCGTGTTGATTTTTTCATACTGGTACAATGTAATGCCAGTCAATCAAGAAATATTCTGCTTATACTTACAAGAGACTCCTAATCTTACTCAGCGGAGAAGTCAAAGTTTTACCAGGCCTAAGGAGGTCTTTATTCTACCCATCCCAGACATTCAGGCCTCTCTGCCTTCCCTCCCTGTTCTTCCCTTTGCCCACTCCTTGGCGTCCTTTCTGTTCCCTGACCATTCCAAATACGATACCCACCTGGTGTTCCTGTCTGGAGTATTTTTCCTTGAGGCCTGCTTCTCTGCACTTGCTCTCTATGCTTTGATCTGACACTGTGAGGCCTTCCTGACCCACCGCTTGGTTAAGTGACTGTGATGCTTGGTTAATTGATTCAAACTAGGGTCTAACACATGCAAGGCAGGTGGTCTACTGCTGAGATCCGTCTCCAGCCAGCCCACCTAGTTCAAGCTACAGTGTTATCTCTAGACCTTCCAGCCTCCTTTGGGTTTTGATTTTTTTCCATCATGATTATGACCTGCTGATCTCTCGCCTTTGTATTTTGCTGACTGGCAGTCTGTCCCTCCTTGTAGAATGTTGGATCCATGCAGGCAAGAGTCTTTTCTGTATCACCAGTGGCCGGCCCAATGCCGAGAGCAAAGTAGGTACTCAATAAATACTCACTGAGAAAATGTTTGCAATTAGGCTCCTTTTCCTTTCATCTATTTTCAACTTTTATACTTACAAGACCTGAGCAAGGTCCTCCCATGGGATCAACCAACTACTGAAAGACGTCAGAGATGCAAAAGTCCCATTTCTGTATACTATGTGGCCTACCCAACTTCTTTTCCAGTGGGTTCCAGAAACCGTCCAGGTCAGCCCGTGTGCAGGTCACCCTGGGGAGCAGAAGAGCACCTCCGCCATCTTTTCTGGTTCAGGAAATAGGGATAAAGTTCTAAAGTCTTGGGTGCCCAGGAAGATCAAATTAGGTTTTCATAATAATCTTTTTCAAGTATTTTTCTTATTTAAAAATACTGTTTGGGGGTTTGTTTTGTTTTGTCTTGTTTTTTGTTTTTTCCTGCCTGGGGAAAACAACAAACCACGAAGACTGCTTCTACCCAAAATGGCAAGGAAGGCCAGCGTGAACAGGGGGAAGATGATGTGGACACGGGAAACACTGGGGTGACAATGAAGATGAGGGTCTGGACACAGGAGGCAGGGGTGAAGATGGACAGGCGATGTGGACACAGGAACGGCAGGCTCACCCTGGGCTGTGTGTAGTGAGAAATGGGGCCTTTCCTTCCACATCACAGAGGAAAGAGAAGACCTTGAGGTATCGGCCACGCGGCCTATCGAGCAAAGGAAGACACAGACTGCTTCCAGAATGTCCAAGGCAGGTCTCTGGTTGCCGTGACTAGCCTGTCTCCTGCGTCTCCAGGAAGTCGTCCACATATTCAATTACCTCTCCCTGCAAGAGTCAAGGGGGCACTCCGTTAAGCGTCTGTTATGGGGGCCATCAAGCTCTGGGGAGCAGAGACCCTCCACAAGACTCCCCAGCTGCCTCTGCAAGCAGGACCAGCCTGTCACCACTGCCCAGGACCCAAGGCCCCTCTCCTGGGCTCTCCTGGCTTCGACCTCAGGTGAACTTAGAGTTCAGTGTCCTGCATCTTCCACAGATGACCTGAGTGGAACAGGCAGTCCAGTCACCTCGGAGAGACCCTGACTTTTGTCCCCACTTCCGTATTGCCCCAGGCCCCCTATAACCCCCTCTCAAGCAGTTCACACAGAAACACCTGCTGCTCTCTCGCCCTTTTTTTTTTTTTTTTTTTTTTTTTGCATTTTGGGTCACAACCGGCAATGCTCAGGGGTTATTCCTGGCTCTGCACTTAGGAATTACTCCTGGCAGTGCTCAGGGAACCATATGGGATGCTGGGAATCGAACCTTGGGCCACCGCATGCAAGGCAAATACCCTACCCACTCCAGACCCTCTCTCCGGCACTCCAGAGAGGTGTAGAGTGTAGAGCCAGGAATAAGCCCTGAGTGTAGAGCCAGGAATAAGCCCTGGACACTGCTGGGTATGATCCAAAAACCAGAAATAAAAAAAATAACAAACAAACAGAAAAAAGAGTATGATCCAGAGGTCCGGAAAGAGAGTATGGGGCTGTTAAGGCACTTACCCTGACCACAGTTCAGCAGGAGTGACTCTAAGCACTTGGCACTGCTTCTCCACAGGCCTGTTTCTCAGGTCAGAGATTACAGCCAAGTACTGCTGAGTACTGCCCAAACTCCACAGACCCCCTCAAAAAAGTTTTTTAAAAAGAGCTTGATCGGGGCTGGAGCAATAGCACAGTGGGTAGGGCATTTGTCTTGCACGCAGCCGACCTAGGTTCAATTCCCAGCATCCCACTGGTCCCCTGAGCACCGCCAAGAATAATCCCTGAGTGCATGAACCAAAAGTAACTCCTGTGCATTGCTGGGTGTGACCCAAAAAGAAAAAAAAAAAAGAGCTTGATCTGCAACCAAAAGGCAAGCTCACAGCAACAGAATGCATGCCTGGAGTTTGCTCCTGGCTACGACGGTGTGGCTCCCGATCCCCACCCCCAACCAGTTCTACAGGTATAGCCCTGGAGGTCCCCAGCAGCACCATGTATGATAAAACCAGGTCAAGGTACAGAGCAAGTCCCCCACCCGCTGTACTATCTATCCGACCTAAGAATGCAAGGTAAGTTAAAAATGACAACTGAGGACTGAAGAGATACATGTGGCCTTGCATGTGGCCAATCCTGACTTGATCTCTCGAACCACATAATCATCTGAGCATCACTGGTTGTGGTCCTGGAAATCCCTAGCACCATCAGTCTCAACTGAGCTCCCATTGGGGAATCAATGGGGAGGGCAACTGGGAGGACCCTTCCATCCAAAAAAAAAAAAAAAATTTACAGTTGGGTCCAGGGATAGAGGGATAGAGCACAAAGGGCTAGAGCCCAGGCTTTACATGTGGGAGACCCAGGTCAATCCCAAGCACCACATGCTCCCTGAGCACTGCCAGGGAGACAACTTTTCTCTGCCTTGTAAGCACTGAACCAGGAGTAGCTCCCCCTGGAACCATCCAGAAACAAACAGACAAAAGAGATAGGAAGGTGAGTGCAGGGGATCCCTGAGTATGGTTCCATCCTCGCTGTCAGGAAGCCTCACAGCACTCGGCCTGCTTTCCAAGAAGGCCATGTTCATCCGAGCTCTGCCTCTCAGAAAAATACCCCCAGAAGCTGTGCTTCTCCACAGGCCTGTTTCTCAGGTCCGGGATGACAGCCAAGAGGGGAATCGCATCCTCTCCTGCAGCTGTGTGCTGGGCATGGCCACTCACTTCGTCATCATCCATGAGGTTCTCCTTCGCAAAGTCATACAGCTCTTTCTGGAGTGTCGTCACATTGAAGAATTGAACTGCTTCCTGTACAGACAAAGAAGAGCTATGATGACCAATCGTGGCAAGACGGAGCAGGGGAAGTGGCCTTTACAGATTTATCCGGGGCAGTGACGGAAACATCTGAACTCAGAGAGTGATAGTGCTTGCAAGACTTCATGCCAAGGAAATAAAAGACATTTCCCCTTGCCCCTTATGCATTACACACTCCAGGGACTGGGCAGATGGCTCACAGGGCTGGGCACCTGCTTTGAATGGGGGAGGCTCAGGTTTGATTCCCCAGAACCTCAAGGTCTCCTGGAGTACCATCAGGACCACCTCACAAGCACCAAGTGCCCCAGGAGCAGCCCTGAGCACTGCCAGGGGTGGTCCAGAAACCAAACTAAAAAATAAACTGTGGGGACCAGAGCAATAGTACAGCGGGTAGGGCATTTGCCTTGCATGCAGCTGACCCGGGTTCGATTCCCAGCATCCCATATGGTTCCCCCCGAGTACCGCCAGGAGTAATTCCCAAGTGCAGAGCCAGAAGTATCCCCTGTGCATCACTGGGTGTGACCCAAAAAAGCAAAATAAAAGCATTAAAAAATTAAAAAAAAAATAAACTGTGGGCCGGAGCAATAGTACAGCAGGTAGTTTGCCTTGTACGCAGCCAACCCACGTTTCATCCTTGGCATCCCCTGAGCACCACCAGGAGTGATTCCTAAGTACAAAGCTGGGAGTAGCCCCCAGAGCAGCGCTGGGTGTGGCCCAGAAAAGCCCCCCAAAATAAAAAAAAAATTTAAATAAACTGTATATTTGGAGAAGGTGATTTTTATCAGACATGAAGCATATCTCAGTTTCTCCTGAGGCTGAAGAAATCAAAAGACCAAACTGTTAGGAGACTAAAACAAAAACGACAGGAGGGGGAGGTTCTCCTCATATCTGCAACAGCCCATGGCCTCGGGGAGGTGGAAACCCAGAGCGCGGCCTGTGGTTCTTACCGGCCGGGGCTGGAAGTGCTCATCGGCGAGGCCCCACTTGTCCCTGTGGTACTGGTAATACACCAGGTTCTGCTGCATGACCTTGTCCTGGGCGTCGAAGAGCAGGTAGCTAACAGCACAGGGGGCTGCGTTCTGGAGGTCATTCACTGGTGTTGGTCAGGGGAGAAAGAGGAGCAGGAATTCAGTCATGGCTGTCGGGCCCAGCCTGTCCAGTCACCCACCTGGAAGGGCACCTTCCTCAAGCCAAAGATCATGATCCTGCCCCATCTCATTCTCTGCAGCCTGTCCCTCGGAAGGTCACCAGGTATAATGACACTTCCAGGGGCAGGTGACAGGGTGCCAGGCGTCTCCGTGGCAACCTGACATCCAGGATGAAGTTACACAAGCATCTCCTGAGACAGCCTATGGACGCCATGACGTGTAAGCACTTGAGGGGCCGCAGAGCCTGGCCTGAGCAGGATGGGACACAGGGATGGGCTCTCAGGGGGCAGGGGAACTTCTGAGAATAGAATCTGTGGACAACGGGATCTTGGTGTTGCTACCCCAACCAACACAGCAGCTTTCCATGGCCGTTGAGAAGCATCTGGTCCCTTCCTCAGGGAGACCTGGTGTGAATGTCAGCTCTGAAAGTTTCTCATGACAATCTTGAGGAGAGGCCAGGGAGACTGTTCAGAGTCTGACATTGTATGGTACCCCCCAGCATCCAGTTGGTACACCCACACTAATGGACAATCTAGAAACACTTAAGCATCACATGGTCCCTCTAGCATCAAGCCTGGAGTAGCCATAAATAGCAGTGAGCCTAGGTAAAAAAAATAAATAAATAAAATAATTTTAAAAGTTTATTATCAAGAAGATGGGAGACTGTATCTAGATCAAGGATGAAGGTCTCAGATCTACGTAGCCCTTGAACACCTCAACCAAGACTAGGAAACCCAAAAAGCACTGGACTCTGCACTAAGGAGATGAAAATCCACCTTTGCCCTCTCATCCCTCGGAGGCTGCTCCTCCCTCTTTGGTCACCCCCACCTGTGATTCTGAAGAGTGCAGAGGGAAAAGGTGACAAGACCTTTGCATTCCGGTACATCCCACCAGCTTTGAGTAAAGCGGGGTTTGGTCCAAGAAACTCCAGGATGCGGGTGACTCAAGCGCACCACCCAGTGGTCATTTTCTGTAATGACAGCGTTCATTTTGTTCACATCTGTGGACCATCTAGAAAGAGCTCAGGATGAGCCACACTTTCAAGAAGCCAGTCCCAGGACATGAATTTTATACACATGGTTGCCTGTAATTCCAAAAATGAAAAAGCCCTAGGAAGGAGTACGTCGAGTAAAAGGAACTTATCCGCCAAGAAGCCGTTGCCACAATTTCCCCCAACGCTGGTATTGCAGGCAAGTTGGATATGCTCCACATCACTGTGTGCCCAGCTCCAGCCTCACTGGTCCCAGCCATGCCCAGAGGGATGAGCAGCCTGAGGGGCGCCTTCCTGAGTGCCCCAAGGGTCACTCAGCCAAGGACTCCACAGGTTTTCATGCATATGAAATTAAAACGCTAGCTTGTGTTTTCATCTCCCCAAAAACTCTTTCGGTTGTGAGCCCAAGACTGCCAAAGTGCAGGATGCTGAATCAGGGTGATGGGCCTCCCAGCGCAAATGCCCCTATTTAAATACCATAACTCTTCTACACCACCCACACAATTTTCACAATTCTCATTGACACAAGGCTCTTCCAAGTGGATGAAAGGGAAGTGGGGAGACGGGGAGGTGGCTTGCTTTGGGTATTTCTCGGTATTGGTCTGAGTTGTTTGGTTATCTGAAAGAAACAAGCCTCTTTGAAAGAAATGAGCAATCATTCATATTTTTAAGAGGGGACTGTTCACAGCAAAAACACTGCCGAGGAGAAAGCTGGCCCCTTAGCATGACAATGAAATCCTAAAAACTGGGTGGGGGGGGCTCTCTGCTGCCTCATAGGAAAGCACAAAGATTTTTTTTAATGTCCTGTTTTATTTATTTATTTACTTTTTGCTTTTTGGGTCACACCCAGCAATGCACAGGAGTCACTCCTGGCTCTGCACTCAGGAATTACCCCTGGCGGTGCTCAGGGGACCATATGGGATGCTGGGAATCAAACCTGAGTCGGCCACGTGCAAGGCAAACGCCCTACCCGCTGTGCTATTGCTCCAGCCCTCAAAACGCACAAAGATTTTTGAGAACTGGCCTCTCATCCGGGGCCAGGGCTACTGCAGCTACTCCCACCAGGCACCCAGGCAGGGGAAATTCTGCAAAGAGCATGCGTGGTCAACAGAATCTTGGTGCTGCCCCGACCAGGGCAGCAGCTTTTCGTGGCTGCTGAGAAGCTTCTGTTCCCTTCCTCAGGGAGACCTGGTGTGAATGTCAGCTCCGAAAATTTCTCATGAACAATCTTAAGGAGAAGACATGGAGACTGCTCAGAGTCCGACATTCTATGGTACCTCCCAGCATCCTGCTGGTACACCCACTCCAATGGACAACCTAAAAACACCAAAACATCATACGGTGCCCCCAGCATCAAGCCCGGAGTAACCATAAAGACCAGTGCGTCTCTTTACAATAGCCAGAATCTGGAAAAAACCTGAGTGCCCAAGAACAGATGACTGGTTAAAGAAACTTTGGTACATCTACACAATGGAGTACTATGTAGCTGTTAGAAAAGATAAAGTCATAAATTTTACACACAAGTGGTACCACATGGAAAGTATCATGCTAAGCAAAATGAGTCAGAAAGAGAGGCATAGACATAAAAAGATTGCATTCATCTGGGGGACATAAAGTAACAAAATAGGAGATTAATACCCAAGAATAGCTGAGATCAGTACCAGGGGGATTACTCCAAGGCTTAGAGGCCAGTCAGGCACTCTAGGGGAAAGGGCAGCTCAGATAGAGAAGGGAGCACCAAATAAAGGGTGTTTGGAGGATCCTCCCAGGAGGGGAGATACATGTTGAAAGTAGACTATGGACTGAACATGATTGCCACTCAATGCCTCTTTTGCAGACCACAATACCCAAAAGGAGAGAAAGAACAAAAGGGAATGCCCTGCCACAGAGGCAGGGTGGGATGGTGGGGTGGGTGTGGGAGGGATATTGGGATCCATGGTGGTGGAAAATGGGCACTGGTGGAGGGATGGGTACTTGATCATTGTATAATCGAAACCCAAGCACAAAAATTTGTAAATCTACAACTGTACCTGATGGTGTTTCACTAATTAAAAAAAAAAAGTGCATATGGGTTAAAAAAAATTAATTGAAAAAGCTTATTATTGAGGTTGGAGCAATAATAATACAGAGCAGGGGTATGGCATTTGCCTTGCATATGACCAACCCCGGGTTCAATCTCTGGCACCCCATATGGCCCCTTGAGCCCACCAGAAGAAATCCCTGAGCTCAGAGCCAGGAGTCAGCCCTGAGCAAAGTCACATGTGCCCCCCCCCCCCCGGCCAAAAAAAAAAAAGAATTTTTTAATTAAAAAAGTTGATTATCGATAAAAACAAAAACATATAATAAACATATACATACTTTTTTTTTCACTTTAGCAATTAAGGTTTTCAGTGTTCCCCAAAAAGGGCAGGAGAGAGGATGAAAAGATGGGAGGCGAAGGGGGAATCAAAGAGACAGTAAGCCATAGGGGACATTCTTGGCCTGCAACCAACCCAGGTTCTATCCCTGGCACCCCTTAGGGTCCCCTGAGCCCCATCAGGAGTGATCTCTGAGCACAGAGCCAGGAGTAAGCCCTGAGTACCACAAGGAATGGTTCAAATACACTCCCCCTCTCTAAATTAAAGGTAGGAGACCATCACCAAAGGAGGGTCCCAACCAAGAATAAAATGGCAACAGTGGGTCTGATGTCAAAATATTGAATGTAATCAAAGTAAAGAGAGAGCGTAATGTGGAAATCATCTGCCCCACAGGTAGGGGGAGGACGTGGGATGGGAACATACTGGGGGTTTTGGTGGTGGAGAATGGGCACTGGTGAAGGTACAGGTGTTTCATTGTATGATGGAGACTTAAACCTGAAAGCTTTATGACTGCTCTTATGGTGATTCATTAAATAAAATTATAAAAAATGAAAATAAAAGAAAAGTAAGGTGGAGTTCATGCCCAATTCAATCAGCTAATCAGTGGCTGAATAAATAGTAGTACTCCTACATTTAAAAAAAAAAAGACAATGCTGGCGCGGATGTGGTGAGAAAGGGACACTCCTTCACTGTTGGTGGGAATGTCGACTGGTTCAGCCCTTCTAGAAAACAGTATGGACGATTCTCAAAAAATTAGAAATTGAGCTCCCATTTGACCCAGCAATACCACTCCTGGGAATATATCCCAGAGAGGCAAAAATGTATAGTCGAAGTGACATCTGCACTTGTTTGTTCATTGCAGCACTCTTTACAATAGCCAGAAACTGGAAGAAACCTGAGTGCCCAAGAACAGATGACTGGTTAAAGAAACTTTGGTACATATACACAATGGAGTACTATGTAGCTCTTAGAAAAGATGAAGTCATGAAATTTACATACAAGTGGTACAATATGGAAAGTATCATGCTAAGCGAAATGAGTCAGAAAGAGAGGGATAGACATAGAAAGATTGCATTCATCTGGGGGATATAAAGTAACAAAATAGGAAATTAATACCGAAGAATAGCTGAAATCAGCACCAGGAGGATTACTCCATAGCTTAGAGGCCAGCCGGGCACTCTAGGGGAAAGGGCAGCTCAGATAGAGAAGGGAGCACCAAATAAAGGGTGTTAGGAGGATCCTCCCAGGAGGGGAGATGCATGTCGAAAGTAGACTATGGACTGAATATGTTTGCCACTCAAAGCCTCTTTTGCAGACCACAACACCCAAAAGGAGAGAGAGAACACAGGGGATTGCCCTGCCACAGAGACAGGGGGGATGGGGGGATGGGGGTGGGAGGGATATTATCCATGGTGGTGGAAAATGGGCACTGGTGGAGGGATGGGTATTTGATCATTGTATAATCGAAACCCAAGCACAAAAAATTGTAAATCTACAACTGTACCTCATGGTGTTTCAGTAGTAACAAAAAATAAATAAATAAATAAAAGAATAAAATGGCAACAGCAGAAGCAGGACCTTTGTGGTCAGAGCCACCTCCTGCTCCCCACTCCCCGCTCCCACTTGTCCCATACCTCCTGGAATTCCAGAGCAGCAGTTGGTTGGGGGGGAGGGGGAGAGTTGGTTAGGGAGGGGGAGAGACCTAGGCAGACACTAGCATGCAGCTAAGGTAGGCGACCGTGGTTTCCTGCCCGCATGCCCTCCCATGGCTGCACCCATATACGCCAGCCACAGCACTGGAGCACTGGAGCACTGTCCTCCCATTGTTCATCGATTTGCTCAAGCGGGCACCAGTAACGTCTTCATTGTGAGACTTGTTGTTAACTGTTTTTGGCATATTGAATACGCCACAGGGAGCTTGCCAGGCTCTGCCATGCGGGCGGGATACTCTCGGTAGCTTGCCGGGCTCTCCGAGAGGGGCAGAGGAATCGAACCTGGGTCAGCCACGTGCAAGGCAATCGCCCTACTCGCTGGGCTATCATTCCAGCGCAGCAGAACCCCAAATCTGCACAGAGAGCTACTTCCTCCCTCATGGTTTTTCTCTGCTGTCCACTTGGAATGTTCTGAAGGATGAACCCTCAACCCTCCAATCAAGGCAGGGCCCACCGGAAGGAAGGGCTGGGAAAGATACAGCATGCAGGAACTCAGAGAGGAAGAGTGGAAGCCGGTCTAGAGTTCACTCCCTGCCCACACAGGAGCACCCAGAGCTGGGGCTGTGAACCCAATGTACCCGGGACAACTTTAGGACCTTAGTCCTAACTCTAGTTGTCTGGTTGCCGCGGGGTCCATGTGGGGACCAGCAGGGCCACACCTGGTGGCCTTGTCTCCACCTTACAGAGGAGGAAGTTAAGACTGCGACCAGGTAGCAGGTGCAAGAGCTGGAATCTTCATGGCTTTCTTTTTTTCTCGGGGATTGGGAGCAAGTTGGAATCTGAACCCTCACCTCGAGGCCCCCTGGGGCCCCAGGTCTGCATCCTGAGTCAGCTGTCAGCTGTGCTTACAACAGCCTCGGGTAGGTCCTTCCAGGGAGGGGAGCCGGGCCCCAGAAGGCTGCAGGTGCTCGCTCAGAAACTGGAGAAGAGGATTACTCACACTTATAATAAGCAAACTGCAAATAGTGATACATGGTAGCCACAAATTTCTCCACTGGGTAGCCCCCAACCACAGGTGTGAGGCTCTCTTCGCACTGTATCTTGCATTCCAGAACTTCTATGTAATGATCTGGAAGAAGAGACACAATATTTTCCTCTTTTCATTCATTTTCTTAATACTTCTGCCTCCCCACGCAAACGTACAAGATGAAATACTTGCCACTTTGCTATAAGGCTAGATTTTTTTTAACACACAAAGTTCCTTAAAATCAATTTAAAAAAAAGCAACCAATATTTTTCAAGGCCAAAGGATTATTACCAAAGGGAATTATAAAAGTGGTTCATAAACACTGTGCAAAAGTAGGTTTATAATGAAGAAATAAAAGCTACAGGGGTGGGAAATAGCTCAGGGGTGAGAGTGCATGGCCTACATGAACAAGGACCAGAATTCCATCCCTGGTACCACACAGCCTTCTGAACAGCCTAGTGGTACCATGGGTCAAACCAGCACCGGGCCCTGCATTGAGTCATGCAACAAGAACTGCCCAGAGTCAGGCCTGGAGCAACAGTACAGCGGATAGGGCATTTGCCTTGCATGTGGCTTACCCGGGTTTGATCCCCAGCATCCCATATGGTCTCCCAAGCACAACCAGGAGTAATTCCTAAGCGCAGAGTCAGAAGTAAGCCCTGAGCACTGCTGGGTATGGCCCAAAAACAAAAAAGAAGTGCCTGGAGTAGCCCCTGAATGTCTGAGCACTGCTTGGGAAGTTTCCCCCACCCAAAATGAGAAATACAGGGAGCAGAGATAGCTCAGAGAGCAAAGGGCTTCCTGTGCAGGCAACCAGCCCTAGTTCAGACCCCCAGTACTTCACATGGTTCCCTGAGCCCCACCAGGAGTGACTCCTGAGCACAAAGCCAGAAGAAGGAAACCTTGGGCACTATGCCAGGTGTGGCCCAAAAACCAGAAATGACAAATACAAAAGGACTTTTCTTTAAGTGAGTGGCATTTTTGGTTCTTTTTTTATTTTAGGTCATAACTGGCAGTACTCAGAGACTACCCCCAGATCAGTGCTTGGGGGTCTCTCCTGGCCGTGCTTGAGGACCGTGCAGTGCCAGGGATCGAACCCGGGCCTCCTACACCAGAGTCCACGCTCAGCATGCTGCACTGTCTCCCAGCATTTTTGCGGTGTTTTGGATTTTCTTTTCTTTCACATTCCCCTCCCTTTCATACTGTGCTGATGATGGTCTCACTCACACACACACACACACACACACACACTATAGACAGATACACACACACACAACATACACACACATACCTACTTTAGACAGATACATACACACAACATACGCACACACACAACACACACACACACACACACACACACACACACACACACACACCCTACCTGCTATGGACAGATAGAAATCCTTGAAGTCCTTGATCTCCCTGAAGCCCTCGCAGGCTGCCAGACAATCATAAAAGGCCTTAAAGAAGTCAGGCAGGGCCAGCTCCATGTCGGTGATGGATGTGCGCCAGTTCTCCCCATTGTAGGCCCGCACGGCACGAATGAACAGGTTCTGGAAGGCAAGGAGAAGCAGGTGAGGCTCCTGACGTGCAGGGGACAGCCTGCCCACCCCACAAGGACTATTCCCCGGCAGCGGGTTCCATTCAGGCAAGTTATGAAGCAATACGCACGGCCAGAAGCGGCTTCTCTCCAGATTATTGTTCTGCTGCTGTTGTTATTGGGGAGAAGGGGAGGGTTGGTCCACACCCCATGTCCTGTTTTGTTGGGAGGGGCCGCACCCAGTGACGCTCAGGAACATCACCTGGCTCTGTGCTCAGAGATCAATGCTTGGGGGACCATATGGGATGCCAGGGACCGAAACCAGGTCAGCGTATGAAAAGCTAGTGCCCTCCCTGCCATACTATTTATTTTTCAGTCTGTTTGTTTTGAAGTCCCGCCCAGTCCCACTCAGAGGTTGCTCCTAACTGTACTCAGGGATCACTCCCGTCAATGCTCGGCAGACCACATGGGGTACCAGGGATCGAAACCAGGTCAGCGCATGCAAGGCTAGAACGCTGATCACTGTACTATCTCTCCATTCCCTCTCCAGCTTTTTCTATTTTCTTTACAATGGGACACTACTTATTCAGTTAGCTAGTAATTTCAAAAGTAGCAGGTGCTTGGAGCTAGCAGAGCAGGTAGGGCATTTGCCTTGCACGCGGCAAACCCAGGTTTGATTCCCAGCAACCCATTTAGTCCCCTGAGCACTGCCAGGAGTAATTCCTGAGAGTACAGTCAGGAGTAACCCCCTGAGCATCACTGGGTTAACACAACACCACCCAAAAAGAAAAAAAAAATAGCAGGTGCTTGATAATCACTTCAGGTTTAAGAGGCCAGGAGCACATGCTTTGCATGTAGGGGCTCCAGGTTTGACCCTGGCACTGCCTGGTCACCCAAGCACCACTGGGAGCAACTCCCGAGCACTGTAAAAAAGAAAGTCTACGGTGACAGAAATCCAAGGACTGGCCTGCAGGGCTCGGAGTCCGCACCAACGCCAAACTGTGGGACGCAGACTGCAGGCTCAGTCGTAGAGCACTTGCCCTGTCGTTAGAACATCCTGGTTTCCACCCCAACACCACGAAAAGCAAATCAGTTCATTCATTAAGGTTAAAAGGGTCTGGCTGCAAAACAGCACCATGAAACACCCAAACGGGGATGAAAAGATTCTTTCTCGTGATGATGGAGGCGATGACATATACCCGCCAAAATTCGCCAAGTTGTAAATGAATACTTACCTGTGACTCCAAAAGATTAATTATGCCTCTAGAATGCTGCTTGTAAAACTCAAATCAAATCAGGGGCTGGAGTGATAGCACAGTGGGTAGGGCATTTGCCTTGCATGCAGCCGACCCGGGTTCGATTCCCAGCATCCCATATGGTCCCCCGAGCACCGCCAGGAGTAATTCCTGAGTGCAGAGCCAGAAGTAACCCTGTGCATTGCCAGGTGTGACCCAAAAAAGCAAAAATAAATAAATAAATAAATAAACCTCAAATCCAGGTTCAATCCTGGCACCCCAAATGGTCTTCCGAACAACAGCAGGAATGACCCCTGAGCACAGAGTCAGGAGTCAGCCCTGAGCAGTGCCAAGTACAGACCCCCAAAATAGCAACCTCAACTCACAGGGTGAAAATGTACACAGACCTCATAGGACTTGGTCTCCAGGTCTTTGATGTGGTCCTCGGCATCGGGCAGGCTCCTGTAATAGGCCATGTTCCTCTTCATCATCTCATCCTCTGGATGTTTCAGAAGGAAGGTGTGGGCCGCGGCAATGGCTTTTGGAAGATTATTTGCCTAAAGTACAAAGATGAGAAAGAGCCAATCAACAGAGCAGCAGTTTCACAAAACAAGAACAGTCAGGGGCCAGAGAGACAGCACAGCAGGTAGGGCATCTTCCTTGCACAACCAACCCAACTCAGGTTCGACCCCCAGCATCCCATAGGGACCTCTGAGCACTGCCAGGAGTAATTCCTGAGCGTCATCAGGTGTGGCCCAAGTGGCAACAACAACAAAAACAAGAACAATCAGCCCACCCATCCCTTTAGGTTTCCAGTTTCCGGTCAGGGTGCCCCAATCAAAGACCAACCTAGTGTCCTGACCATCAGGACCACCTCAGGGCTGCCCTGCACCACACAGCCAGCCTGAACAACTTTATGACAAGGGGCGCCCCAGCCTTCAGGGGTTCATCCATGAGAAACCCTGGCGGGGGTGGGGGGGAGGGACACAGAAGGAAGGGACTAGCGTGACTGAGTAGCCATCCCTCCACTCCCTCCCTGCTAATGTCCCTTCGCTGATGGTCACTGGCGCTGAGAGGGAAGGGGTGGGTTTCTCCTTCAGTTTCCAATTTGGGTTGGGGGTGTTGGGTCACACCCAGTGGTGCTCAGGGAAAGATCCCAGCGCTGTGCTAGAGGTAAGGGGGTATCACTCGACACAGTACTCCAGAGAATAGAGTTCTAGGGTTCAAACCAGGCCTCTGCATGGATAGCACCCCACCTCTCGTGGGCCCCCACATTCCATTGTACTTTCTCCCGTTCCCTTCCAGCCTCGAGCCACCAGCCTGGGCTACAACACATACCTCGTGGACCCCGCATATACCGTCCTAGTTAGTGTTTCCCAAGCCACCCCCAATGCCCAGTGCTTTCCTTTCCTGTTGGAACCCGGCAAAGCCCAATATGCATCCAGTGTCTCACAGAGCTTCTTCCGCAGCAACACTGTCTGCAGCTCCGCCCCACCCCTACCCCCATGTCCTCCTCTCTCCACCCAGCAGATGCTGGTGGGGATTACCCCATAAACTGGTGCTATTCTTCAAAGTGGGTCTGAGGGGCTGGAGCAATAGAACAGCGGGTAGGGCATTTGCCTTGCATATGGCTGACCCTGGTTCAACTCCCAGCATCCCATATAGTCCCCCGAGCACCACCAGGAGTAATTCCTGAGTGCAAAGCCAAGAGTAAGTAACCCTTGTGCAACGCCAGGTGTGATCCAATATGCAAAAAACAAATGAAGAAAAACCAAAATGAGTCTGAATGGTGAGCAAAACAGGAAGAAGAAATCCCTCCCTTTGGCCTCCATCATTCTAGTAAATTCTCCCTCTCTACCTCCCAGCATCCTCTGAGGCCTGAGAGCTCAACACCTCAGTGCAGACTTTGCGTGCAGGAGATACCAGTCGATCCCCGAGCTCACTACAAGTGACCACTGAGCACTAAGCTGGGAGCAGCCCGCCCCTGACCCAGGACACATGTGGACTAAAAGCAAACAGACCAAACAGAGTCTGTCTTTGGTGTTACCTGTCCTGCCTTCTGCTCTCTGTACCACTCATAGTCTCATTCAGTGGTAGGACAGCGTCACTTTGGACATGCCTGCCAGCCTCCTGACTACCATCCCTGAGGGCAACATGAGCAACCATGTTCCAGGCCCATGACACACGTCCTGGGACGAGGCAGGACACCCAAGTGCCAGAGCTTCGGACATGCCACAACCACCATATCCATGTTCTCACAAATAAATTCACATCCTCATCTCCTCTCATCCTGAGGCAGCTGTCAGCTCACTCTGCATCTGATGACACAAGGGAATGTACGTGTCCGGTCTGAACACTGAAATGACCACAGGACAAAAGTCCTCTGTGCACCAGAGAGAACTCAGCAGGGGGCAGGAGAAGAGGGAAGGGGGGTTGCTGAGTGTGAAAAGAGGAGTGCGGAAATGCCCCAGCCTAGGGTCACGAGTCCCGTGGGTTCTGTGAGAGCAGCCCTAGGCTATGGGCCTGAGCTTCAAGGGTGGCACTTGGGGGGTAGTGCCCAGGAGGACAGAAATCCAAGGAAGACCCATAGTAAGGAGCAGAGGGTGAGGACCGGAGAAATAACACAACAGTTAAAGCATTTGCATTGCACACTGCCAACCTGGGTTCAATCCCCGGCATCACAGATGATCCCGAGCATAGCCAGGAGTGCTTTCTGAGTTCAGAGCCAGGAGTATACCCTGAGTATTGTCAGGTGCGACCCAAACATGGCACCACATCTGCGCAGGAGGAAGAGAGCAGCATGGAACACCTTCAAGAGTGTTAAAGAAGTTATTAAGAGGACGAAGAACCTCCCGCTCCGGGAACATCTTTTCGACTCCACCATTCTTTCTGCACTGACATACACCTCAGAGACCTGGACCCTACGAAAATAGGATGAGAACACTATTCAGGTCTCCCAAAGAGTAATCAAAAGAGCTGTGCTTGGAGTATCACGCTTCACTCAACTGTGAGAAGGAATCCAGAGTTCCAACCTCCATGGACAATCAAGGATCAGGGACCCTGCCTTGTTTACCAAGGTTTCTAAAATTAGATGGGCTGGACACGTACTGCGATTTGGAGATGACCCTTGGACTGGAGCCGTTACCAACTGGATTCCACTGGATGTCAATAGAACGCCTGGCCGCCCACCTATGAGATGGTCGGACTTCATCAAGACCCTGAACAAACGGTTTGATGCTCTTGGAGCAAGCAGACACCATTGGGCTACACTAGCACGTGACAAGGACAAACGGAGACGTTACTGGTACCCACTCAAACAAATCGATGAGCAACGGCATGACAAGTGACAAGTGATACATTTTTAAAAGAAGGGGGCAGGGGGTGCTGACAAGGGCAAGCAGACCAGAGGAGAGACACCTACCTGTCCACAACCCCAACCACCACAGGGCCCCCTGCCCTACCTTCCTCTCTACTCGCCATTGTCCTTGTAGCTGTGATGACCTAGGGGGGCACCCACCAGGGGGCCAGGCTGTGATCCTCGCAGAGCAGCTGAGGGTCCTGACTCTTGGTGGTGGTGCTTGCACATGTGTTTATATGAGTTCATTCAAATGTGTCTGCAGAGGTCACACTCGAGGCCTCAGTGCTCAGATACCAGTGCTGCTCCTCTATGTGCCTGGCTGCAGTGTGACAGGAGACCACCTTCACTGGAGTCTCTGACAGCAGCACCACCAGGATCGAGCTGGGTGCATGTGGTGGCACTGGGGATCGAACTCCTACAAGGAGGCTGTGCTAAGCTACTGCGCTGTCTTCCAGCCCCCAGTGACATCCTGGCTATGGATATCACCTGAAATTTTTTTTTTAATTTTTATTAGTGAGACACCATGAGGTACAGCTGTAGACTTACAAATTTTTGTGCTTGGGTTTCAACTGTACAATGATCAAACACCCATCCCTCCACCAGTGCCCATTTCCCACCACCACGGATCCCAGTATCCCTCCCACCCCACCCCCTTCCCACCCTGCCTCTGTGGCAGGGCACTCCCTTTTGTTCTCTCTCTCCTTTGGGGTGTCATGGTTTGCAAAAGAGGCACTGAGTGGCAATCATGTTTGGTCTGTAGTCACTTTCAGCATGCTTCTCCCATCCTGGGAGGATCCTCCCAACACCCTTTATTTGGTGCTCCCTTCTCTGTCTGAGCTCCCTTTTCTCCTAGCATGTGTGGCTGGCCTCCAAGCCACGGAGCAAAATTCCTGGTACTAATCTCAGCCACTCTTGGGTGTTAGTCTCCTATTTTGTTACTTTGTGTTCCCCAGATGAACGCAATTTTTCTATGTCCATCCCTCTCTTTCTGACTCATTTCGCTTAACATGATACTTTCCACGTAGTACCACTTGTATGTAAATTTCATGACTTCATCTTTTCTAATTCGCCTGGAATTTTGACACAGGGGGGTGAGAGCAGAAATAGCAGGGGGCATGGAAGGGGGGAAGAAGCCAGATAGGGATCCAGGCTGAGTCTGCACTGGAGGAGCACCAGGCGTGGTGAGGAGAGATGCCCAGATATCCGTGCTGAGTCTTGTGGGAAGCCACTCTGACAGAGTCCTAGGAAGTAATTTCCAGCACTGGCTGGAAAAAGGTTCATGCAGCAGCTACAAGGACATGAATGCAGCCCTAGAACAGCAAGTGTGATGAAATCACTGGAGCAGTCTCAGAGGAGCTATAGTGGTCGTCTCACAGCCTCTGACTTGGGGCCTAAGTTTTACAGCAGGAAAGTCCATCCTGAGGAGGAAAGGCTGATTTTATCCACTGCACCTCAGAGTCTGGGAAACACCTAGGCTATACCCGACAGACCCCAGGCAGGTTTGAGAGAAGAGAGGGGAAAGGGAAAAGCAGGGACCAGATGCCCAGGAGGACCCCGGCCAGTGGCCCGTGACTCTCTGCAAAGTCAGCCTCTCTGTGAGGATAGCTGACGGGGTTTGCGGGGGCCAGGAACAGGGAAGGGGGACAGTGCCTATGAAATAGGGTCAAAGCTCGGAGTTCAAAGCCATTAAAGCTCTGATAAAGGGATGGGGCCCACGGTCTCCCTGCAGCAGGGATGAGAAGCAGTGGCAGGGTGTAGCTCAAGGGAACTCACACTCAGGGACTCGCCTGCATTTGCTGATGCTGAGGGACTACGACCAGGAGAGCTTGAGTCTACCCACCCCACCCCACCCCCAATCCTAACGTCCAAACCACCATCTCCACTCCCATGTTCAACTCGGACCTCTGCCTCCATCAGTGGAATGAGAGGATGCAGCTCCTGCCACCTGGTTCAGCGGGCAGGGGCCAGGTAGAGTGTAGGAGCCTCTATCCAGCCACTTTCTTCCTCCTCAAGAGACTGACACAGGAAACACAGTGGCCAGAGGGTGGCCCAGGAGGTGAAGCACTTGCCTTGCATGCGGTCATTTCAGCTACAACCCAGGTTCAAATCCCGAGCACCACCTACAGTCCCCTGAGCACTGCCAGGGCTCACACAGAGCCAGGAGTAACTACTGAGCACAGTCTTAGGTGCGGCCACAACTACTACCATCACCTCAATTAATTAATTAACTTTTTAAAAAGAAAATGTTAGGGGCCGGAGCAATAGGACAGCGGGTAGGGCATTTGCCTTGCACATCACCAACCCGGGTTCGATCTCTGACATTCCATATGGTCCCCCAAGCACCATCAGGAGTAATTCCTCAGTGCAGAGCCAGGAGTAACCCCTGAGCATCGCTGGGTGTAATCCAAAAAGAAAAATAAAAAGAAAATGTTGGGGCTGGAGCAATAGCACAGCCAGTAGGGCATCTGCCTTGCATGTGGCCGACCCTGGTTCGATTCCCAGCATCCCATATGGTCCCCTGAGCACCTCCAGAGATAATTCCTGAGTGCAGAGCCAGGAGTAACCCCTGAGCATTGCTGGGTGTAATCCAAAAAGAAAAAAAAATAAAATGTTAGGGCAAGGGGAAGCAGGTGCCATGTACAGCTGCGAAGGTGGCAAGAAGCACAGCCCAAGAAGCAGGCCAAGGAAAAGGACCAGGAAGATGAGGCATTCAAGCAGAAATGAAGGAGGAGCAGAAGAAACTCAGGAACTTAAAAGCTGAGACCGTGGAGAAGGCCTCCTGGCCACTGGCGGAATTAAGAAATCTGGCAAAAAGTAAGCTGTTCTTCATGCTGGAGAAAACGGTGATCTTTAATTCTGATTAAACATCTGGATTCCCTGCATAGCTTCTGTTGCCAGCAGTACCTAGAATGAAGTGTTTTGGAACTTATTGTACACTTAAGAAAAAACTTCTGTAAATAAAAGAAAGAGGAGGAGGAGGAGGAGGAGGAGGAGGAGGAGGAGGAGGAGGAGGAGGAGGAGGAGGAGGAGGAGAAGAAGAAGAAGAAGAAGAAGAAGAAGAAGAAGAAGAAGAAGAAGAAGAAGAAGAAGAAGAAGAAGGAGAAGAAAAGGAAGAATTCGTAAGGTTGCTCTTCCTTTGGTTCTCAGCTATTTTTCCTGAGGTCAGTAAACCTAACCCAGAACTGTGCCAAAGTATATACTCTTCTCAAGTGTTTGATCTAGCATGGATTCTATGTCATCTCGAATGAAACCAATTCATTTGGGGGGAAAAAAAAAGAAAGAAAGAATTAGGTCTCACTCAGGAAAAAACAAACCACACAATAACACCACCTAAAAAAAATCCCATTTCCACTGATTTTCAGTGACAGCAATTAGTGAAGACCTTGATCCTTTTATAATATGCTCACCTTGTCCCTGCCCTATAGAAAGCATAAAATATCAAAACATCTCCTAGTCTACAAACTTTCAAGTAAATAATCGTAACAAGGATCTTGAAGAGAAATTACAGGACAGAGGTGTGTCTTCATGGCAGACACGTGCTTCACATGAATGAAGCCCTGGCTCGGCACTGAAAAAAGGACATAAGGGCCAGGACTTGGCTCAAAGGGCTATATTTTGCATGTACATTGCATGTGGAGCTTCGGGTTTCATCCTCAACACTGCAACACACACACACACACACACACACACACCCCACACCTGGGCCACTGGGAGCAATCCCTGAGCACTCTGCGGTGTGGATCAAAATCAAACAAACAAATGTTTAGTTTTGTTTAAAAGGAGAAAAGAGGAGATGAGTGGTCCAGTGGGCGGGCATTTGCCGGGCACCTCATATGGTCCCCAAGAGCCACCAGGGGTGATCCCTGAGCCAGAGCCAGGAGTCACCCCTGAGCACCACTAGTGTGATTCCCCATCCCCAAAAAATAGTGCTGCATGAGCCCGTCATAATTTTTCACTGTCCTGCAACTAAATCTTATCATGGATTCTATCGTAAAATTCCTATTATTGCCAAAACATTCACAAAGCAAATACTTCATACAAAACCTGAAACAGAAATACCTCATCTTTCATTCTGTTTGAGGTTTTGTGCCATTGGAAGGCTCCAATGAATACAATATACAGTGGACCATCTCAGTGGGGATCTGAAAAACACATCTAGTTGCCCAAGGACTCCAAAATTCAGGAACCAACCATTAGTATGGCAGGCAGGTCACTGGCCTTAAACACTGCCAACCCAGGTTCAATCCCTGGCATCCCATATGGTCCCCCAGGCACTGCCAGGAGTAATTTCTGAGTGTAGAGTCAGGAGTAACCACTCCTCATTGCCAAGTGTGGTACAAAAAGCCATAAATAAATAAATAAATAAGGTTCCATGTAAGCGTCACCATATGGCTGCTTCCAGACTCGGACCTACACCATGAAGCTGTATTTTTATACTCATTAAAATAAACTATAAAATCCAGCTCCCGGACGAGACCAGTGCAGTCTCCTGCCCCCGCGCCTGGCTGTTCCTCGCCGGGGTCCCTTGGAGGGGAGCGGGTTGAGCTTTCCTCCCCGCCCCGACCAGGGCTCCGGCAGCGGAAGACCTCCAGGACCAGCCACCACCATGCCGAGACCACTCTCCGCACACATGAAGGTACTGGCAGAGGGACAAAGCCACGCGGGTTCCGGGGCCGAGATCTCCAAGCCTACTCGGATTGGAGTTGAGCATCCTCCACCCAGATCCTCCAAATTCCAGTAGGCGGGGGTCACACCCACCACCTGGCCCCCTGGCGCCGTGTAATCGCATCAACGTCCAAGACTCAGAGACTATAAAATCCAGCTCCCGGAACCCGGGACATCTTTTTATGACATCTTATTATCTCATTCCTACTTTGGACAAACTTGCAGGCTATCAAATGTAGCCTGCCCACAGGGCAGAGTCTGGCAAACTCCCCGTGGCGTACCAAATATGCCAAATACCAGTAACAATGATGGGTCGCATTCTCCTAAAGAGCCTTGAATATAATCTCAGGGCTAGGATGAAAGAGACCTTACTGGGGCCTGCTCAAGGCAATCAACGAATAACAGGATGATGAATGAATGAATGAAAATAAACGCACTATATCTCTTTAAAACACACACATTTTAAAACACACACATTTTATCTCTTTAAAACACACACCCCACAACTGTTTAAAGGCGCTAAAACAGGAACTGCTATTTGAGAGGGCACTCTCCTGAAGACTAAATCAAAGTTTTTTATCTAGAATTCAGCCTATCCTCTGTGGTCCCCAGAATAAGAACTATAATTAGCGGCTAAGTTTAGCCAGCAGCATCCAGAAGTATTGAAACACACACACACACACACACACACACACGAAGACAGCTGGGCATCACTGAGCACAAATCTGACCTTCATCCACCCCGTGCCCCGGTGCCCCTTGCCAGGCCTGCTTCTTCCTATGCACCGGGCAAGCCCGTTCCTCGAGTCCTCGGCCGCCTTATTACGGAAAGTCGCGCTCCCCGGGCAAAGGCAGCGTGTACGAGCACAGGAGCGTGTGCGCACCGGTCCCTGGTGGCACTGATCGGCCCCCAGCCGGGCGCCACGCACTGAGCTAAACACCCTACGTTCGTCTTCTCTGTCTCAGAACACCCCTTCGGGAAAAGTACTTTATCCTGATGTAAAGTTGGGTGGAAAGCGGTGGCAAGGTGGGGGGAGGTGGGGGCGGGGGGGGAGGAGCCAGGATTTGGAGGATTTGGAGGAGTAGCCAGGAGGGGCTGTCTGGAAAAAAACAAGTCATCCCCAAAGCCCGGAGAAGCAGCGGAGCGTGGAGGGCGCTGCCCGGGCTGCGGGTGGGCGGGCCCGGGGCGGGCCCGGGGCGGGCGCGGCCGACTTGCCTTGAAGTAGGCGAACTGCAGGAACTTGTAGGGCTCGCGGCGCTGGAAGTCGGCCAGCACGTCCCGGCTGGGCTGCGACTGGCGGAAGGCGGGCAGGCCCTGCTTGCAGCGCTTGAGACAGTGCGCGCGGCGCAGCAGGCCCCCGAAGAGGCGCAGCTCGGGGTGGCGCGCCAGGGCGGCGGCGCGCTCGGGCTCGGGCTCGGGTTCGGGTTCGAGCGCCGCGCTGCAGTTCCGGTGGCAGAAGGCCTCGCTGTCGCGCAGTAGGCGGTGCAGCCGCAGGCTGATCTCCAGGTAGCCCACGCTCTCCGCCCAGTGCTCGCCGCTGTACTGGTCCAGCGCGTGGCGGTAAGCCGACTCGAGCGGCATCAGCTCGTCCCGCGGGAAGCTGCGGAAGCTGTAGCGCTCGTACTGGGCGCGCCCCGAGCGCAGCGCGCACCCCGCGCACAGCAACGCCAGCAGCGCCGCGGCCGCCCCGCGCCCCGGCCCCATCGCGCCCGGCGGAAGGAAGGGCGCCTGCAAGCCCGCCGGGAGAGGAAGGAAGAGAGGAAGGAGGAGGACGCGCGACTACGCGGCGGGCCCGGGGCCGAGAGGCGGGGACCGCAGCCTCCGCCCCTCCCCGCCCGCCGGAGGGGTCGGCGCCGGCGCCGCCGCCGCTGCTGTGCGCTCGGGCTCCGGCTCGCTCACGTCGGGGCCGCGGGGTTCCGTTTGCGGACTCGCCGTCTGCAAGTCCCACACGGTTTAGAGCGCTGCGACCCACGGCCTGGCAGCCCCTGGAGGACTTGTAAAAAATCCAGACACCCGATCCATCGCCCCAGGGTCTCAGGCGGCTCAGGCTGCGAACCCCTGGTGCACACTTGGGTACCACTGTCGGGAGCCTCACAGAGTTAGAAATAGTTAATCTGAGGCCCCATGGGATAGTACAGTGAATAGGGCGCTCGCCTTGCGTGCGGCAGGCCCGGGATGGATCACCAGCATCCCATAGGTTTCCCCTCTAATCCATTTCCTCAACCCTGCCAGGAGTAATTTCTGGACATGGCTAGGTATGGCCCCCAAAACAAAATCAATCAGATGTCAGCGGCCTTTTTGTAAACTGTCGAGCCGGCACACCTTAGGACTCTGACTCCACTCTACAGAATACAGTCCCGAAGACCCTAGGTTTGTTCTTCACTCTGCAAGGTAGCAACAAAGGATTTGGCAACTCCTAGCTCTGTGCTCAGGGATCACTTCTGGAGATGCTCAGGGACCATGCAGTGACAGGGACTGAGTCCAGGTCTCCTGCATGTGATGCCTCTGCTCAGTCCTTTGAGCTATTTCTCTGGACCTCCTTGACATGTTTGAAGAACACAGGCCAGAACAGCACCAGCACACACCTATGAGGATGTGTACTCAGAATCCAGAACACTGATGACAATAAATGCTGACACGGATATGGCGCAACAGGAATTCTTATTTATTGGTGATGGGAATGCAAAATTGGAAAACGGTTTGGTGGTTGCTTACCAAACTAAACATTTTTACCATACTACCAAGCGTTCCTAATCTCTTCAGTATTTATCCAAATTAGCTGAAATGTGGGGATGGAGAGATAGTACAGGGGTTAAAGCATTTGCCTTTCACACAGCCAAACCTGGTTTGGTCGATAGTTCCCCAAGCGTTACCAAAGTAACCCCTGAACACAGAACCAGGAGTGGCCTGAAAAACACAAAACAAGGGCAGGTTCCCTTTTCTGCCTTGAAGGCCCAGCAGTCCCCAGTCACACACCAGATACCTGCAGGCACAGGAAATGGCCCAATCCACAAATAATCTCAGAAAGAGCCATAAGCAACTGAATTTTCCCAAGTGGGACCAGTCTACCCACTGAAAAATTCTGGGTCCTTCTCAGAACGAGGATGGGGATTCCTACGCAGAATCCCCTTTGGGCCTGAAGGCACAGCAGCACCCAACCACACCTGATGCCATCAGACATAGAAATGACCCAGCCCCACAAATGAACCTCACCATGTCACCAAGTCACCAAATCACTTCAGCTCAATAACTCCTGGAGTGTCCTTGTCTACATATGCAGCTGTGCGATACCTCCAACTTTTATAGTACTGTCAGCCCAGTAAAAGGTAAGGTAAAGGCCCTCCTGTTGTTCGTTGATTTGCTCGAGCGGGCCCAGTAACATCTCCATTAGAGACTTTGTTGTTACTGTGTTTGGCATATCGAATACGTCATGGGGAGCTTGCCAGGCTCTGCCGTGCGGGCAAGATACTCTCAGTAGCTTGCCGGGCTCTCCGAGAGGGGCGGAGGAATCGAACTCAGGTCAGCCATGTTGGCTGCGTGCAAGGCAAACGCCCTACCGCTGTGCTATTGCTCTAGCCCAGTAAAACCACAGCAAATCTGATGGGAAAGTTGCCTAGAAAACCACCAAGTTCAACAAGCAAAAACCAGTAACATAGAAAGTTCAGCTAGCACCAAACAGGCCAGTAAATTCTCAGGTAATGATTTTAGTAACACCATTGTGAGATATGACAGTTATCACACATTGACTTTAATTGATCTATTCTTTTATAATTCCATTTGCCTTTGTATTGAAACAAACAATATGAAGTAAATGTGTTTCTGACTACGAAGGGAGCAGGCTGGGTGGTGGATGGGAAATTGGGACTTTGGTGGAGGGAAGGTCACACTGGTGGTGTGATTTGTGTTGGAACACTGAATGCCTGAAACAACTATTATGAACAATTTGGCAGTCACAATGTTATAATTTTTAAATGAGCGTATAAACCTTGTTAGCTGTAAAATTATGTCTATACAAAAGCATATCCATGAATACATACAGTGGTTCTATTCAGAATTTACCCATATTGAAAATAATCAAAACATTCTTTGATTGACGAATAAATAAACTGGAACATATCCAGATCTGGATTTTATAGTCTGTGAGTCTTGGCCGCTGATGGGATTACACGGCGCCAGGGGGCCAGGTGGTGGGTGTGACCCCCGCCTACTGGAATTTGGAGGATCTGGGTGGAAGATGCTCGACTCCAATTCTAGTAGGCTTGGAGGTCTCGGCCCCGGAACCCGCGTGGCTTTGTCTCTCTGCCAGTACCTTCATGTGTGCGGAGAGTGGTCTCAGCATGGTGGTGGCTGGTCCTGGAGGTCTTCCGCTGCCGGAGCCCTGGTCGGGGTGGGGAGGAAAGCTCAACCCGCTCCCCTCCAAGGGGCTCCGGGAAGGAACACCCAGGCGCGGGGGCAGAAGACTGCACTGTTCTCGTCTGGGATCTGGATTTTATAGTCTCTGAGTCTTGGCCGCTGATGGGATTACACGGCGCCAGGGGACCAGGTGGTGGGTGTGACCCCCCCCCCCCCCCCCCCCCCCCCCGCGCGACATCTTATCAGAACCTTTTTTTATGACATCTTATTGTCTCATTCCTACTTTGGACAAACTTGCAGGCTATCAAATGTAGCCTGCCCACAGGGCAGAGTCTGGCAAACTCCCTGTGGCGTACCAAATATGCCAAATACCAGTAACAATGATGGGTCTCATTCTCCTAAGTAGCCTTGAATATAATCTCAGGGCTAGGATGAAAGAGACGTTACTGGGGCCTGCTCGAGGCAATCGACGAATAACAGGATGATGAAATGAAATGAAAATGAAATATCCAGATAACGGAATGCTACTTATTGCTCGGAAGATTTGAGTTATGTTTTCCAAAGGAATGAATAGTAAAATAGTATTATAAGTGCCAGAAGCCAATCCAAAAAGGCAATATGCTGTGTGACATTCTGGAAAAGACATAAAGAAATATACAGATACATAAAGATAGTAAAAGATTCAGAGGTTGCCAGCTGCAGGCAGTGGAGAGAGTGACAAACAGGCAGAGGACAACGGGGTTTTCCACACCGAGATTACCCTGCATGTGAGAAACTGTCGTTTCCAATTTTTCAGAATGTACAACACCAAGATTAGCCCTCATGTAAACCACAGAAATTCAGTGGCAATGCTATGTCAATGGACCATGATCGTAGCAAATGTGCCTTGGCCAGGGAGACGACTCAAAAGGACTGGAGGGGCACAGGCTTTGCACGTGGGAGGCCCTAGTTTGATAACCCAAACCACATGGTCCTCCAGGGCATATGGGATCACGGTCCTCCCGTTGTTCATCGATTTGCTCGAGCGGGCCCAGTAACATCTCTATCATGAGACTTGTTGTTACTGTGTTTGGCATATCGAATACATCACGGAGAGCTTGCCAGGCTCTGCCGTACCACCCTGAACGCGCCAGATCTCGTCTGATCTCGGAAGCTAAGCAGGGTTGGGCCTGGTTAGTACTTGGATAGGAGACCAGGCCATATATGCTCCCCCAAACAAATCTCTTTGGTGTAATTTGGTATGCTTTGAGTTATATATGTTAGGCAGTGAGTACTTAAAGACTTTGCCTATCACTACAAAATGTTCAGTTCATTTTCTTTAGCTTTTTTCTCCCCACCCTCTTTTACAAGGTGTTGATAGTGGGGGAGACTGGGTGCAGTGGTACAGAGTAGATGAAAAATCTTAACTTGGAGCCAGAACAATAGTACAGTGGGGAGGGCATTTGCCTCCCATGCGGCCAACCCAGGTTCGATCCCCAGCACCCCATATGGTCCCCCAAGCACTGCCAGGAGTAATTCCTGAGTGCAGAGCCAGGAGTAAGTGAAAGAAAGAAAAGAAAGAAAGAAAGAAAGAAAGAAAGAAAGAAAGAAAGAAGGGAGGCAGAGAGGGAGGGAAGGAAGGAAGGAAGGAAGGAAGGAAGGAAGGAAGGAAGGAAGGAAGGAAAGGTGAGAGGGAGGGAGGGAGGAAAGAAAGAGAGAGAAAGAAAGAAAGAAAGAAAGAAAGAAAGAAAGAAAGAAGGAAGGAAGGAAAGAAAGAAAGAAAGAAAGAAAGAAAGAAAGAAAGAAAGAAAGAAAGAAAGAAAGAAAGAAAGAGGGGAGGCAGAGAGGGAGGGAAGGAAGGAAGGAAGGAAGGAAGGAAGGAAGGAAGGAAGGAAGGGTGAGAGGGAGGGAGGGAGGAAAGAAAGAGAGAGAAAGAAAGAAGGAAGGAAGGAAAGAAAGAAAGAAAGAAAGAAAGAAAGAAAGAAAGAAAGAAATCTTAACTCTTTTGGTCAATGTTGCACGTGTAAAACTGCTCGAGAAGTAAGGAGTGTACACCAATAGTTTTATCAAAGCACCTGCTTTTCAGATGTCTCATTTTCTCCTAAGTAGGTTGAGTCTGTAGTCTTTTGGCTGGGACAACCAGAAATAATATTGCATTCTTGTGACATCACATGAAAGGGCCAAGATGTCTCTCCCTCATCTATGAGAGTAACTCTGTGACTTTGTTAAGATCCTGCCCATTTCCCCCCACCACCCACCCGATTTTTTTTTCTTTTGCTATTAAGCTTTCACTGTAAGTATAGCACTGTAGCACTGTCCTCCCGTTGTTCATTGGTTTGCTCAAGTGGGCACCAGTAACGTCTCCATTTCGAGACTTGTTACTATTTTTGGCATATCAAATACACCACGGGGAGCTTGCCAGGCTCTGCCCTTCA